TAAGCTATCTTCAAAAGCTATCTTTGAGAACGTCAAAATAGCATCAAAATTTCGTCTCGGAGAGCTTCCCGAATCCTCGGAAAAAGAGAAAAAAGGGAAACGCTCGATCAAGAGTTTCCGATTTTCTCTTAATCAGTCTCTATATAATCGCGCTGCTCCGTCAATCTCGATCACGCTGGTGTTTCGCACGATCATTCATCGCCAACGTCCGACCCGATACGATCTGAGCACTTCGTGGCTTTCGTTTTAACCTTCTTCTGAGCTCGAGCCAGATGTCGGGGTAAATAAAGTTTCTCGAATCGCGCTTTCATCATGAAACAACTTACCTAGGAACTGATTAATTCCCGCTGACCAGTTGTGTCTCTTTCTTTCTTTCTCTCATATAACAATTTTATATGAGAGAGCGTTCACTTTGTATTATCTTGCAAACTCAGATGCTGTCTTGCATGATCTCATGTTTTTTTCCTTCTATCATTAGAATTATTTGAGTCATTATTTGCACTATTGTTATATTAAGTAGATGCAGATGAAATGGCCATTTTCGAATTTTGAATTTAAACTTTTATTCCACTTACTTTATATACATCTTGTCGATCGAAATAGTCGTCAGACCGAAACTTTTTCAACCATCTGTTGGCTCGATCACTTGCAGAACCTTCCCCAAAAGCAATGTTTATGTTTCCCGTTGCCTCGGCCGCGCTATGACCAAGTTTGAATTTGTACGAGGATATTATTCGCATTTCCTTACTTTCCATGTCGAAGAAACGGCGATTTTCAACGGTGTAAACAATGCGACGAAAGTAAGATCCTGTGTGCGAATTTACGCGCGAGGCATATACTTTTCACATATGCAACGGCAGCTGCATGAAACAAAGCTGAACTCATTCGGTCGGGAAATTCGAATGATGAAAAACGGCCGTTTCATCTGCAACAACCTAACACTTGTATCGACGTCTATAAAAAATCATTTACGCTCGAAGTTGAAGTACCTCTGGAATTTCCTACCCGATGAACTCATTAGCGGCACGCCTTTTAGAATCTTTCGACGTGAACTTATGCAGCATCTCTTTGATCTAGAAAAGCGTGCGATGCTGCAAAATAATCTGCATTAAACCTTTTGACTTCTTCAACATAGGAATTTGAAAAACATTTAATTTTCTTTATCATTGCTACGCCCTCCATTTTCAATCCCTTTTATATCCTCATATTTATCTTTATCTCTTCGTTGTTTTTACTTTCTTTTTTACTAATTCTTTACGCTATATCATTATCTCCCTACTGTGTTACTATACCCGGGATTTCTTTTATAACGCGGATCCGAAGTAATCTACGCTTATATAACACTCGGTTCTCACACACAATATATTCTCTAATTCTCCCCGATTGTTCTAATCCCCGCCCTAGATGAAACAATAAACTCTGTGCTCTCTCTCTCTCTCTCTCTCTGCGAATGCGAGGATCGATGCACTTTTCTCCTCTGTGACTAATAACAACACGCAGTATCGATGTTTCTTCAGCCAGCAGAATCAGCAGCGGGAAGGGGAAAACCGGTGATGTAAATCGCGACGTTAGTCGCGCTATTTCAACGCCGCGCGAGATTGCCGGCCGCCTTGGTCGCAACCTCGGTCGTAGTCCGTTGGAATTTAAGCGTCTTTATAAAATTGAGAGGACGAGCCGGGTTGGGGTAGAGAAGGAGGTGGTAAGATCGAAGGTAAGAGTCGGACGATTCGCGTCGTACGCTCTTAGCTCTGAGATACCGCGCTGGAGGCTCGGCTCTGCACGGTGAGGTAATGCCCGGCTAGTATGCATTTAAACGAGTGCATTATCCGCGCATTACCCGACGTTAACGATCCTTTCGGCGCGGCTCGAACGTATGTAACTGATTCATGCGTGGTCGTTAACGAAATCGCGGTATCGCATGATCGGACTTGGCCAAAGGCGAAGTAGGAGGAATAGCAACCCTACCTCTCTTATTCGCGGAGTTTTCCCGCTTCGAGACACGCCCGACGATGCGAACGGGCGGGAGGAAGAAGGAGCTTGATTCTAAATTTCATTACAGAACCCGAGAAATCTATGGGCGCCGTGAAGACGCTATAATTCGATACGGACTGCGACCGCGCGCAATTCCAACGAGCGAGACGTTGGGGATACGTCGCATCGCATCGTCACAATAGCGGCATAAGTGATTTTCTTTTCTTCACCGAGACAATCGGCCGCCCTCGCTCCCTTAAGAAGCAATTTCTCACGTTGTCGAGGCAGCGCCGTGAGCGCTGTCGGGCCACGTCTGCCGGTCGATTTGTACCTTTGTATCTTGTCGCGTACATTCAGTGGGATGCGAGGGGGACGACGAGCCCGCTCATTAGCATTCCCGCGGCCCGTTGTTTTCTTTTCGTGTCCCTCGCGCGCGTCCGATCGCGAAACTAATTATCTAACGTCGCACCCTTAGTCCCGGGACCATCCATCCTCGCCGTTCGCCCGCGTCTCGCCTTCATCTAGCACTGCCACGATTCGCTATCGCTCGCATAATACACGTGCGCGTCTACCCTCTTGCGACTTATGCGCGCATTTCTTCAAAAACCGAGAGAGAGAGAGAGAGAGAGAGCTTTCCGGCTCTTTCTCGAATATACACCCGCGCGCACCACCGCCGTGGCGTTGGTTCGAACGCAAACAAAGGGTGACGATCCTTCGGTCCTTCCTTTGCCGCGTCCCCGTGGCCATGTTTGCTCTGTCCGTCTCGCGCGCGACCTTCGACCCGAGCCTCGAGTGAATCATTTGCTCGGTCTAATTATCTCGGAATAACTCGCGTCGAGCCGTTCTTCGCGTGTGTTTTTCTTCCTTTTTTAACACGTTCGCTGGGGCAGGGTTCATCCAGCAACTTCAGTCGAAACTTTTCACGCCGCTTCGGCGCTTTCAAGACGGCTCGTGAATTTGTTCTCCAGAAGGCTCTTGGAATTTTCACGGCATATTAATCGAAACGCATACGCAGGATCTAAGCGCATGTAAAATTTGACCGAAAAAGAAATCTGACGGAAAAAATGCGGCCGCACCGATGCTGAGATAATCGAAGTCGAAGTTAGCAGTGTTTACGTGTGTCACGGGTACGGAAGCGATTTCCAATATCACGTTTTTAAGTTCCACCAACCGAATTACTCTTACTGTTTTAATGAAAAGCAAGATGATAAAAGAGACTTGTAGAGATATTTTTGAAAAACTACAAAAAAATCTTGACCAAACGGTTTGACTTCCCCGAAATTGATAAAGTATAGTTTGATGACGGTTCTATATCGGGTCTCTTTAGCAGCGTTTAGCAACTTTCGAGTGCGCCCATCGCGGGGAGAAAGGTGATGGGGGGAAGGGGGATACGATATATTCACGAACATATGTTTAACATGGGCGGTCCCAGCTAAAGATATCATACGTCAAGCGCGAAAAACGATGATTTCTTCACGAGTTTCTAAGCATTATGTTAGTGATCGGTATTCTCTTCTTATAGTGTCAAAATGATGTATCATGAATCGCGTTTATAAACATTCAGCACAAATTTGTCGAGCTTCTTTGTCTTGCATTAATCATTTCTAACGGTAAACCTTTCTTACAATATTGTTACAAACCAACTACTTTAAGGATACTTTACGCCTACTTAAATAAATACTAAATACTCTCGATGTGTCTACTATTGAATCGAGTTACTATGCTATTAAATAAGTATTCAGAATAATTTATTTCGACGCTGGAAATAATGAAATGGAAATTTAAGACGTAATCATTGTTACAATATGAATAAATTATATCATTAGAATTGAATCTACGTTGCTGTTTTAATTCCACTTTGTTGTAGAGACTAACATTTAATATAGGTCCAACATTTTCACTCGGGCTGTATTTTTTTTTTTTAATATAATTATGTAAGACGGACCTAGTTTGTTTGTATAAGCACGGGAGGATTATATATCTCTTGAGAGACCGGTGCGTCACATGTGGGTGACGGCGATCGATTTAGTAGTGAACGTGTTAAATTACGTTGGTGTGTGCTCTTTTTTGCCGAGAGAAGCTTCAGCTCGACGTCCGATCGCGATCGCTGGATCTCAACGAGAGTCGAAATTTCGCTAAATGATACCGAAGACACGTTTGATATTAATTTCGTGAGAGAAGAGAGAGAACTTTCAGCGTCGTTAATCAAGCCTCGAGCCAACGTACTTTAACTCGGTCGTTTCGCACATTCGTGACCTGGCCAAGGCGCACCCTGGAATACTTTTGTTATTTCCGCACGGCCTCCCATGGGTATTCGTATCGTTACAATTCATTAGGAAACACGCTAGCAAATATACTTAGAGAGAGAGAGAGAGAATAATTCGTTATTCTTCGTTCTCGTTGTCGTGTCTTGGGAAGGAAGGGTGGAGGGAGGGAGGAGAGAATCGTACTTTTGGATTACGGGACGAACCGAGTTAATTGCGTTCGACGAATTTCAATTGAAAGAAGCGGGAAGAATATTACGCACGTTTGACACATGAGACACGCGTAAAATTCCGTCTTCCTGTTTCATTTGTGATCTCATTGCGCTATTGGATATGTCTCCATTCGCGCTAATGTTTGATTCGGCAGGTGAGAATCAAAGTCCGCGACGCGATAAAAACGGCCGGTGCGATCGTTTTAACGATATAAGCGGTCGTGTGTCGGTGTTGAATTCACACAGAACGGATTTTGCGCGCCGCTCCACCTCACATTCTCTTTCGAAGTTTTAATTGCGCGAAAACTATTTCATTAGTAGGACACACGCTCACCGTTCGATAGTTTTCGATTACCTGTGCGGGTGTCGATTATCTTACCGACGTTTTGAAATTCGCCGTATTGTATTATTCGACGAGTTTCAAACGTTCCGCGCGGTTCGAAAGCGCGCGGCAGAAGCGGCCGCGGTTTCGATGAATGATTACGGAAGATTACGGAGAACTCCGGATCGATCGATTGCGACTCATCGGACGCCTTCCGCCTTTCTTTTTCAGGAATGGAGGCGCTCATGTCCGAGTTCTTCAACGACACGACCACTGCGTTTTACATAATCCTGATAGTGTGGGTGGCCGATCAATACGACGCCATTTGCTGTCATACGCCTCTCACGAAGCGGCACTGGCTAAGGTATGTGAGAGCACGATTAACTTTCGAGGAAAATTCATAACACCGGATGTCCTCTTCGTTCTCGACGGCCCGGCTCTCGTGTACGCGAGATCGTGCCCACCGCTTGTCGCGAACAATGGCGGGTTTATTTGCGAAAGCATTCAAGGGGGTGTGTTTCCGGTAGCAAAGAGGATGATCGAAAGAACATTTAATTAAAAAGGATTAAGCTGCACTAAGCAGCGAGAGCCTCGCGTGTCGGATGCGCCGGCAGAGACCTGCTTCCACGCTTTAATCCGGCAGCCTCGGCTGCAACCGCTGTGAACGGCGATCCGTATCGCCAATATGATTCGGAGAATTGCAAATTTATCGTGTTCGTGACTATAGCTCACTTTTGAAATAGATCAGCTAAAAAATCAAGCTGAACACATTTTATTACTTTAAATGAAATACTTGAGGCAAGAGACGATCGCCTGATTCGAGAAGCGCGAGTTATTCTGAAATCAACAAGATATGTCAAGATACGTCAAGATGTTGAAATATAAGAAAAATATGCCGAGATACCGAAAAAATATGTCGAGACACGTCCATATCCATGTTACTCGTGTTGCGAAAATTCGATAAATTTATCAATCTTGCGGATGTTTGACTTTTTCCCGTCGCAAATTGCCCTTCTAAAAAAGGCGTGCGCATTTCGCACGACAGAAGCGAAACACAAAGCTACGAGACGCGGCGTTCCCTGAATCAAAATTCTGGCGCTATATTAAAGTGGCTGGCCCGTAATAATACTGTTAGAAAGGTAATTAGTTAATATAATACGAAGCTAAACAAATTTGTGCTAAATGATTATAATCATGATTTATAATATATAGCTTTGACACCGTAGCAAGAGGATATCGATAAAATTTATATAATATTCAAAAACTCATGATGAAATAAATAAATAATTGTTTTTCGCGCTTTGATGCGTAATACTTTTGGCTGGAACTGATCGTGTTAGACACATATTTGTGAACATATGATATGTACCGATGAACGCACATACGAATGTACATTACTAGAGAAATGACGTCGGATTTTTCCGTACTTTTCGCATTTTTGTATTAATTATGAGATCTTTAAGGTCATTCTATCTTTCGAAAAATACTTAACCAATCATTCTATTTTTCGAAAAATATTTAACCAAGAGGCACAAGGAAAAAATATAGCGCATACAATATTGCCAAATTTTTACACGTTACTTATCATATACTTCAACCGCTATAAGAAATTGTGTACTTTATATATCAATTTCTGAAAAATTAAATGATCGACGATTTTATAATTTCTTGATAATATTTCTACAGGTTCCTTTTATCGTTTTCTCGTTTTCCATTAAAACTAAATTTTAAAACGTGATATCGGAAGCCGTGATATTTGTGATACATATAAATAGTGTGCTAATTTTAATTATCGCAGTTTTAGTAGGGTCGATCTTTTTCTAATTTTACGCGTGTATAAATCGCGTTACAATTAATATGCTGTTAAAATTTGAAAAGATTTCTAAGGAGATAAATTTATGAACCGTCTATTTTAAACCTTTAATTCTACAACACAGTAAGAACTAAGATAGCAAAATAGATTCAATTTTAATTCTAGTAATATAATTTTCCCCTGCTTTAACCCCGATAACGGTGTCTTAAACTTCCATTTTCGTTCTTTTAGTGTCAAAGTATGTTGTTTCAGGTAGTATTAAAATAAAATCGTGTTAAAGGTTCAAGAGAGAAGTTAACAAGTGCCAGTATTGTCAAAACCAATTTTTATTAATCCCCAAACTACCTAAGTAAATACAAAATACCCTTAAGAGCGTTAAAGTGGCATCAAAATTCCGAATCGGGTCGTTCCGGATGTGCATTCTTTATTATTTCGCATGTGCGACGGCAGTCTCGTGACGCTCAGTAGCTCTATGAAAGTACCCGTGATTGTAATCTCTTCATTGGTTCCGGTAGCCCTTTGCTTGATCCTTCGAGCACCTCTTAAACGGCCTCTAATTAATGACGTTTATATTAATAATCCGCCGAATACACAACGACGTGTGCATTCGGCTTGCACCTGCTACCACCAACGTATTCTCGCGTTGCGATTAACGTCGAGCTCGATCAATCGGATTTCAGCGTCTTTTATATATATATCAGGGGAGGGGGGAGTGGGCGCCACCGTGATCCGCGGCTATAAACGCACGACGATCGATGTACATTCCGCAAACATTGAACGGCAATTCGCTGACTCAACAATCGAGTTGATCCTACACAGACGTCAAAGCGAGGCTGAGCCAAGAACTTCGCCGTAGAGATCGGGCTTTACGCTCGATGCAAGCTTAGATCTCCGGTAAAGGCTATGCCGCAACTCCCCCTTGGACGAACGAAGGGTTAAAACGGGACATTAGAGCCATTAGGTGACGATTAAACAAAGCTATCGCCGACGACGGACTCGCGACGACCGGTCCAGTTGATTCCACGTGGGATGTAGAGACGGCCGAGACGGTGTCGGCGCGCCGAAGCAAACGCGGATTACGTTATTATCGCTCCGCTCCTTTACGAGCTATCCTGAGCCTTAAATGGAACCGTTTCGGAAAGATTCGAGGTGCGAGACGCGTTAACGCAAACGTGCCGATTCTTTGTAACTCGACGTGCGAAGGAAACGCGTAAAAAGATTCGCGTAGATTCGCGTGAAAGTCAGATACTCTTGGTTTTTAGAGAGTGGGGCTCATCTTGTCTCGGATACAACTTTGAAATATTTTGATCGCTTTTGGCGTTCTTAACGATATCTTGCGCCTACTTAGATGGCCTGTGAGACTAGCAAACACCTACTTTGACGATAATACATTTGTTGTCTTCTTCCTGAAACTTTTCATTCTACAGATTTAATTTGAATGCTGTTGAGAAGTTACAAATGCTATTGATATTTTTCGATAATTTCTCGATTATATTTACGTGAGTATCCGAGTCGAAATGTTGGCCTTTAAATCTTTGATTTTACAACATAATAAGAGAAGATAAGTTTTATTTCAATTCTAATAATATAATTTAATCCTACTTTGGCCCTGATATGATGTTTTAAATTGCCCTTTTCATTGTTTTAGCGTCAAAATAGATTATCCAAAGCAGCATTAAAATTAAATCTGTGGAACTAAAGGTTCAAAAATAATTTTTATGAATGAAGAGGAAAAGTATGAGGTAGGAAGAACGATATATTCAAACTAATACAATTCTTTGCTTGAAAACATCGTTCTTTCTATTCAAAATTTTTCTCTCCCAATTCATGAAAAGTATTCTTGAATAATATAAATCTATTTTTAGCGGGAGTATATAGAATTTCTTCATATAAGAGTAAGTTTTATTTTTACATAAAATTATATGTTTGCGCTGATATATAAGAATTTGAGTCTTGAATTTTGGTATTAATTCTTTTCTCTGTGTACAGATTTAATTTTAATGTTATCTTGAAGCTACAAATGCTCTCGATATTTCAATTATCAAATTCGCACGGGCATTCGAAACGAGCTGTTTTGACTGTAAAAACAACGAAAACGGGAATTTTGAACATCATCATGGTCGATGTGAGAGTAAATTAAACCATTAGAATTAAATCTATTTTGTTATCTTAGCTCGTACTACGTTGTAGAATTAAAGGTTTAACGTAAGGGCTGAGATTTTCTCTTGGTTCACGTTCTTGTTTTTCCCGTGCCTTTCTCGCCGGTGAATCTTTAACGCTTCGCGAGACTCTACTTGGCGAAAGGAGAAATTTACGCCCGGTATGTCTCTGATTTATATCGAGCCGGGCGAGGATCGGCGACGGCGCCATCCGGTCGGGTTTGCAGTCGGATTGGAGATTGGAAACGGATCATTAGAACTGGCATTAGCAACAATTAAATAGATCTGACGCCGGTAATGGTGTTCGAGTTCTCCGAACAGCCGAAGTACACGTCGCGCGTCCTACCGTATCGCAGTCTTCTAATACGGGATTTACACTGAGGCGTAATTAGGATCAATTCTAATCGCATGAGCGAGGCAGCGCCCCGGGTAGGAGTAATCGAGATCGTTATCGGGCGCGCCGCGTGTCTGCAAGACAAATCGAATTGTTTCGCGAAACGCGTGACATCCTCTCGCGCAACGGAACGGATCGTGACGTTATAGGCACCCTTTTGCGCCTTCCGCCGAAGAGGTTTTCGAGGAGTAGAAAACAGGTTGTCGATTCGCGATCCGACGGACAGCCGGATAGACGCGAGAATGAAATCTTTGCTATCGCGTTTCGTCGAATTTCATGTTGGAACTCGGTTGAAATCTCGATTCGTTATCTTTTTGGGCACATGGAAGAACTTAATCCACTATTCAACACTTCGACCACCGCACTCGTCGGCGAGGAATTTTCGTATGCCGTCGATAAAATTTGACTGCTCGCTTAGATCGTAAAGAGATAAAATTTTATTTATTTTATTCACGAGAAAATATTAATATATTAGTGTATAAATTTCAATGTAATAACGTATACAAAGGACAGATAAATTTTTACCGAAATAATCCTCCTTGTGTACAAATTCGTAAATCTGTTTTTATATAAATTCCATAGTATTGAATTGTCGACTGTGTTATTATCGACAAATATTTCTTCACAACGTGACAGGGAGATTTTTCATTTTTAACCGTAGTTTAAGCAAATTCTGCGCAAAGAAAAAAATATTAGTTCGAAGAGTACTAATAATGTATCTATATATAATTAATTAATCTATTTACGGAAATAATTGTTTATTCTATTTAAATAAAAAAAAATGGGGAGAGATTTAAGTAAATATGTTAGTGTATTTACCCAGTGAATAGATATTTTTCAGATATTTTGTTCTTTTTAGCGCGCAGATCTACAATAGGCGATGGACGAACATTTTTCCGTGAACACACCACGTCGAGCGGTCGTCAAAATGTTAAATCTTATCGCTTGTGCGTTTTTCTGTGCGCCATTGTCTTTACTCGAACGAGATTATATTAGAT